GAGAGAGGAAAGAGAGGTGTCTCGTGTCACGACCGATCGGTAGGCAGACATTCGGGGTTATACCACGCGTGGATGTCGCAACGAGAACGGAATGCGAACCTCGTTTTCTCGTCGGTGAATGAACGTAAGCGCTTCGTCGTGATTCGACTCGGTGTAAACCGCGAGGAAACGCCGGAAACTATCCGAGACAACGAACGTCTCGACAATTTGTCCGTCCACGCGACGGACGGATCGTCTCGCTGGCCGGAAAGGTTGCAGAAACGCGGTTCGGTCGACCACGTTACCGTTCTCCTTCTTTCGTCTCGTCTAGTCTCGAGTTTGTCTCATCGTGCAATCGTCGTCGTCGTCGTCGTCGCCATCTGAATCGCAACTCGAACGTTTACCGGAAACGTCGCACGATCGAGTACGAACGTACGTCCTCGATCACGATCGCGACATCGTCCGGCGTTGACGCTTTCGATATACGACTGTGAACGTAAATTGAAATTGTCACGACATCCGCGACCACGAGTTCACCGTTTCCGATTCAAGCGTGACTTTAACTCGAACCGCTCCTCGACTACCTGCACTCCAATCTCTAGGACCTCTAGAACCTCTAGAATCTCCGAGATCCGTTTGGAACCCGGATTCAGGTCCACATGACGCACGCCGCTGCATCCTCGAGTCTCTAGTTGCTCTCTGCAATTGCGAGTGACGTCACAAGCGCAAACAACGTCATCCCGCTTCGCACGCCGTCTCGTACCCGCTCGTACTCGCTTCCTCTTATTCGGGCCAACGCGCTTACCATCCTCTCCCCTTTTCCCTTTCGCCTTTCGCCTTTCGCCTTTCGCCTTTCGCATTTCTCATTTCGCCTCTCACCTTTCGTCTTTCGTTCTTCGCCGCGTCTATTTTACCACCTCTATGCCTTTCGCCTTTCGCCTTTCGCCTTTCGCCTTTCGCCTTTCTCATTTCTCATTTCGCCTCTCACCTTTCGTCTTTCGTTCTTCGCCGCGTCTATTTTACCACCTCTATCCGAACGATTAGGTACATCGAGCATTCATCCGAAACGTCCTATCTTTATTTATCGCGATTTTAGCCTAATCCACGCGTTATGCAATCGTTCGAACCTCTCCGTTTCCTTTTTCCCGCCACTCGACCACCCTTTTATCTTCTTTTCCGCCTTTCGTATTCTCTGTTAATTTTCTCCTCGCTGCCGTTCCATGCGATATTCTACATAACTCAGTGTGACAACCCGCAACCCGTAAACACTTTGTTTTTACGGCAATCGGTCACGATAATTTCCCGAGAACACCAAGATAACGTACAGACGTTATGTTATATGACTGTACGATTTAGCTACCGGATAGTTAAACAACTCGATTTATGGCTCGCTTGCCAGCAGCTCTCGTTGAAATTTTTCCACCCGATCATCGCGACGTCGCGTGCTTCTTTACGTCCCAAACCCATCCATGCAATTGCAGGTATACGTCGCAGTGACTTTATCATATCGCGACCTCTATCAATTTCTCTTAACGATACGCGCGTTAATAGTTCCTCAAATCGCTTTCCACCGATATCTATTCGTTTCTCTCGCGAGTTACTCGCTTCGCGTTCCCTTCATTTTCATAGCGTTTCGTTTTATTCCATTCCATTTCGTATCCTTTCGTTTCGATTCCATTTAATTCGTTTCCTTTCGTTTCGTTTCGTTCCGTTCCGTTCCGTTTCCTTTCGTTTCGTTTCGTTTCGTTTCGTTTCGTTTCGTTTCGATTCGATTCGTTTCGTTCCGTTTCCTTTCGTTTCGTTTCGTTTCGTTTCGTTTCGTTTCGTTTCGTTTCGTTTCGTTTCAGTCTACTACAGTCCACAACCGGCAACTTCCGAACTCTCTTTCGCACCCTTTTCCTTCTTTCCTTTCATCCTTCGCTCGTCCTTTCGCTTTAGCGTAGCAAAATCAGCCGCCAGAAATCTTACCGATCCAAAGCAGTCTATCTGCCGAACGCTCCTTTCAAATTCTCCTCGATGACGCTGATCCAAATCGGTGAGGGTTACGATTGCTCCGTGTTCACATTGCCATAACGGAAACACCTTTCGTGCATCCGGATGTGGATAACCGAAGAAATTGCTCGATAAACTACCGCTAAACCACTTTTCCTCGATAATTTCGATCACTGTACACAGCGTTAGCGTTCACGGGGCCACACGTTGCGTCGTCGATCCTAGATATACCGATATCTGGCTAATCTCGTTTCTCGCGATCGATTAAACTCGAATCGATTCGATCGCGATCCTGCCACAAGATGCATCCAATAACATCCTTCATCCCTGGTTGCGTAGCGCGTTCATTCGCGTTCGCGTCTTTTCACCTTCACCGATTAACCCCCGCGTGCTACCGACCGCGCTCTTCTTTCTCCAAATTTCTTTCCCGTACCCTTCTTGTCTTTTTTCCCTTTCACGCGTTTCCTCCCTGTCTCCCTCTCCCCCTCCCGCTCTTTCACTCTCGCTCTCTCTCTCTCACTCTCTCTCACTCTCTCTCTCTTCCTAACCCTCCCTCTTTCTTTCCTTTTCTCTCCTCCCCTGCCCCGTTATCGTTTGCTCGCTCTCCCTCGATACAGGATAAACCGACGATAGCTACCACTAGAAGGAGCAAGTAGCCTCCATCGCGAACTGAAACTGAAGCAATCGTGGATACAAGGGGTCCGTCCACGGTATCCCATCCTCCTATCTATCGTTTTGAACGTCCCCCTTGGACCCTCTCTCTTGTTCTCCCTCTGTCTCCGTCCCTCCTTTCATTCGCTTCTTGATCCTCTCTCGGTCTCTCTTGCGTCAACCATCGTATACGCTTCCCTCCCCGATCCTCCGGGACTCTCCCTTACCCTCCTCTTCGCCTCGATCGCCGCTCTCCTATCGCACTACACGCTCGACTACTATCTCGACTATTAATATAAAAGAGGGTTCCTCGACACTCGCCGTCTGGTAATTGTACGGCGTGCACCACAACCGGACCTCTATCGCGCACTCAAATTTACGCGTACACTCGCGCCAATTCTTTCCTCCGCCTTCTTCACCGCCTCTTCCTCCTTTTTCCGCTATTTACGCGTGCATCGGGACACTCGTCGTCATCCCCAGTCATTGCGTTCGAGAATTCCACGTACGATTCCACTTGCGACGTATTTCTATCCAAATCGATCGTAACGGATACCGGATCGATTTCCTCTGTGATATCGATATCGAAATCGTACGACGCATTCGGCACTTGTGGTTATCTTTGAATCCACTCGTGTATGCCCGCTGAATTCCTCCGATCCTGACAAATTTTCTGTCTTCGCGAAACATTCGACTACGGATTTCCATACATGTTTTGCTTTTTCCTTTCGTAGATGAATTACAACAGGAATATTTTGCCTACGTTATCGACCCGCGATAGATGCACTTTGAGAAACGGGGTAATTTCAACCAGACACGAGATATCCCGCCTTTATGTTTCTGCGTTCGACGCGTTTCCATGGAAACGCAACATGGTGGATAGAAGCATGGACACGTTGTGTACTTCTGTAGGGTGCGTTACGATGATGTTGGACTGAAGATTCGAGAAAAATTACCTTCGCCTTCATCCTGTTTCCAGTCTGATGAAACGGAAACCGATAATACGAAAATGTACAAGAGTGATCGAAACCTGAGCTACGAAACGGAAAAACCAAATCACGTAAGGAGATTAAATTTTGGCCAATCGATCCTAACCTTAGACACGGTTAAGCAATTCCAGGGACAAAAGGATGGTGCATTGTTGATTGATAAAAACGTAGCAGATATACCGTGCACCAGAAAAGGCGATTTCGTGCGGAAATGGATCGAGACTCATATCGATTTCGACTCAAAGGAAACGTCTCCCATTTTGGGTTCGTCTCTTACTAATTCTACGAAAATCTCCCCAGTTGTTGGTGATCGACGTGTGTGTAAACGAGCTAGGAACAAAATTAAATCCAACGATGATTCTACAGACAATGCTCAATGTATGCGTTCAAACGATTCGCAAATCATGATTAATGCAGAGATTTACAATGGTTCGGTTGAGAGTAGTAAACGTATAAAGATAGATGATAACGACAGGAAGGAAAATGTAAGAAGAAATCTATTTGATTCTCAGTCTATTAGCGTTCCTTCTAAAGCAAGTGATGCAACTATTTCTCCGATACTTGCCAGGGACTCTACTTCTTATAATAGAAGCCGAAGAAAATTTCAAGGGAAGAACTCATGGCGGAAAGCCTTGGATTGCATAGAAAATAAATGTATAGAAACTAATTCGAGGTCTCCTTTAATTTCTACCAAAGTGTACGAAGGAGGAGAATCCCCTATTTTAAATCGTGTTACTTATCCTTGTAAACACAAGCAAAGAAAACCAAGGGAAAAGCTTGATAAAGAAGAAAGTAATCGTATAAATTCTGATATGAATTCTTTGCAATCTTGTAATTTACCTGATGTGGCAGGCTTGAGAAACAAATGCAAGATGTTATGTAGTCAAAAGCGTCGTGCATTGATAAGAAAATTAGAAAATAGCTTTAAGGATGATCATTCGAAATGTACGCCTTGTAAAAATCCAAGTCTTTCAGGAGATTCTACGGGATCACATTCATCAACGAATAAAACAAAGTTAATCGAAGATAGCCCAAAAGATATGAAAGATAGCGCGAAAATTGAAACCGAATCTAGCAACGAAGATTACAATAACGGGAAAGATATTGTACATATAAGCAATGATTCCGATAAAGATTCTAGCACATGCGATTATATAGAAGATACGGACACGCAACATGTAGATTCCGTTACTAGGAATCTCAATTACGATTCGGTATTATTTGTTTCTAATAAATCCGCATCGATACATTCGCCAGCATCCAACAGAGATTCGGACGAAACGTTCTTCTCGAGAGTAACACCATTGCATTCTAAATATACCGATATTGGCACTTCACAAAACATTTCTCAAATTTCGACGCAAGTTATGGACGTTACGGATAACAGGTCGAGTCAAACCGGAATTATCATTAATACGAAAACATCATCGCGAGAAACTTACACGGATACATCGGTTCAATTAACCATTTTAGACTCAGGAAAAAAAAGGAGAAAACCAAAAAGGTAGCTTTAGTTGCATTAGGGTAATTTACTGTAAGGTTAATCATAAATTCGTTTCTTTGTTTTATGTTGCAGGGGTAGCTTGGTAGAGAAACTGCAATCAACGATTAATAGACAAATATCCTTTGTACGTATATGGAGACATCGCGTAAAGCAAGATACGAAACAATGTTTTCGTGTACCATGTGCTACCGTTTGTGTGCGAACATGCGTAACTCGTTTTAGCAGACAATTCTTGGAAGGAGTTGTAATCGAGGATCCATTTGATTTATTATCGTATAAAAATGAAAATAAGTCTGTCACGTTTATAAAGATCATGACGATTCCCGAGATAGTAGGTAAAATTGAAATGAAATCCGAGGGTCTAGTACAAATTTTTCCTCCATGGGAAACTTTAGACGATAAAGAACCAATGTTGAATGTAACTTACATACGTGTTGTACCTGATAGCGAAAAAGATGTTCGACAATATAAAGTGAACTTGAATCGAGTTAAAAAGTCGGTAATTCAAGAATTTTATTGCCCGTGTATCGGTAAGAACAAAATGATTTTGTCTTGTAAAGATCGATTTAGCAAGCCGAACATTATCGAGAAGGTATTCACCGAGTCATAAGGATAAGAATACGATGCATGGATTAAATTTTGTATCGACCAAAGTAAACTTTCGTTATTCGACTACTTTATGTTTACCCATGTCATATACAACGTGGCGATTGTTTTTGTTACTATTGTTGAGCTAACTTGTTGATTTTTGTTTTGATAATGTTTTCAATAATTATTTGTTATTCGAGTACAAATTCCACGTTATTTTGCAATATTAAAAGTCTTTGTACAATTTGTAATCTATCGTAAATTTGCCCTAATAAATCGTTCAGCATACCAAACTGACATTTCTGTCTTGCGAAAGTAAACGTTTACGTTACCCTCCGTTCCGTCTTATGCATGATTCTGCATAAGAAATAAAGCATTCATCTTTTAATGTTGAAATTACCCGGCAGATGGCTGGTTTCTGTGTACAACGTCGTGCATATTATTATTGAAAATTCTTTCTCTTTTACGTAAATTTTTTCATAATTGTTCTCTTAATTTTATATAATTGAGAGAAGAACAGGATAATCTTAAGGAAGAAATTTAGAACGTAAGATATTTACATTGTTACTGTTCCCTTATTTCTACAGTTTTGCTATTTTATCACTTGACATTTCACGCAACAGTCAATTTGTATTATCCCTTTCATTATGATGCAACAACATACTACTTTGTTGTAAATAGTTGATATTTTTATTGCATATAATATTATTTTCCCATGAATATTCGCCACTCGTTTGCTGTTGAAAATTTATTCGATTAATCTAATTTATCATAACCTAACCTAACTTCTTGTGATTAACCTCTTATGATTTACTGCAACAGTGGTTATTTCAGTTTAATACAACTTTATAACGTTGTAGGTGTAACAATGTCGATAGCCCAAGATCGACCAGAACTCTATGAAGAAGTAAAGCTTTATAAGAATGCTAGAGAACGAGAAAAGCACGACAACCAAGCCGATCTATATGCAGTTGTGAATACGTTGCAACATTTAGAAAAAGCTTACATCAGAGATTGCGTAACTCCTAAGGAATATACAGCTGCTTGTAGCAAGTTATTGGTGCAATACAGAGCAGCTTTCAAACAGGTAATTAAACTGTGATTAATTTATCTTACAATAACTGTACAGTTATAAACATTTTCTTTCTTCGCTGTTTTAGGTGCAGAGCGATCAATTTCCCACAATAGACGCATTTGCTAGGGCATTTCGATTAGATTGTCCAGCTGCACTCGAAAGGATCAAGGAGGACAGACCAATTACCATAAAGGATGACAAGGGCAATACCTCTAAATGCATTGCAGACATTGTTTCTTTGTTCATTACATTAATGGATAAATTACGACTCGAGATCAAAGCAATGGACCAGTTACATCCAGATTTAAGAGATTTAGTAGATACTATGAATCGGCTAAGCATATTACCAAGCGATTTCGATGGAAAAGAAAAGGTCGCGGAGTGGTTGCAAACACTGAACAATATGTCAGCTTCTGACGAATTATCAGACACTCAAGTCAGACAACTGATTTTCGATTTGGAAACATCTTACAACGCTTTTAATAAAATCCTCCATAATTCGTAATTTTGATAATTTGGTTCTACATTATATTAAGACACTCGATGGATCATTTTTTAAACCGATGGTTCTTTAAATGTTTCATGACTTCAATAAGATCATGAAAATATGCACAGAAACTACAGTTTTGTATGCGATTCTTTACGCTGCATTGTAATCTAGCGAATGTAAAATATAATATTACACATGTATATACGGTACTAATCGAGAAAATAAAGAATAATCGTAGGTGCTTGTTACATGCGTTTCATCGAATACATGTCCGTTTACACTCCTTTTTCGACTCACAAGGAGAATGCAAGTCCTTCGAGTCACCGATTTAGTTGAAACTTTGCAGATTTGTAGATATCGTCATGCAGTTTAAGAAAATATATCATTATAGCCGCAACTATTAAATAGTTTTTGAGATATTTACGATTAAAATTTTATTACTTCTGGAATTACAGATTTATTTCCAGTACCTTACAAATACGGTCTCGGTTTAACGGCAACGGTCGAGAATTCCTATGGTGGAGGACAGCGGTTCGATTCCCGTCCATATTTGGTATTTCTCTCAAATGAATTTTTTATTTTGTACTCATCTTTTGTCTATGAAAACATTGTAAATAAACAATTGTGAATAAAATTCCTTAATAAAAAAATTTATTTTTTACCCTTCCTTATGCTGGTATATATTTATTACAAAATAATAAGAATACTATGCAAGAAAAACAGTTTTCTATAGGAATCTTGTTAACGGCGGAAAGAAAACGAAAATATAAATAATCATTAGATACAGGGAATACAAAACCTATCGCTCGTGTAAGTATTAATTAGTAAATCAAACGCTGTATAAGAATGTTGCCCGTAATTACAACTTTGCTGTGCAGCTATAAATGTTGAAGAATTAATTAAAGAAACTTGGAAATTTATTAATTTTCTACTGCCGAATATATAAAAATTTTACCGCTTGCGATCAGCGCCATCTATGATTTGGGCTCAAAAATCGAGAAAGTAATAGGAATATAGAATAGGCAAGGAGGTCGTCGAAGAGCTGGTCACGTGGTAGACAGGGACAGAGAGGGGATAGAAAAGGATAAAATGGCTCCGACAGTGAAAAATTATTAATTACCCAATTTCTGCAATTAATTTATGAACTTTTATAACTTCAGTGCAAAGCTGAAACTTCAGGCTACATTCTTATATAATATTCGTAAAGAATTTAACTCTAAATTGTTAGTTATTAATTTCTATTTTATGGCGTCTATGATTTCGTAACGGCGACCATCGCGATCTTCCGTGAAGATATTTAATACTCACCGAAACTAGAATCAAAATGTGAACAAAAGTGATATGAGAAGATTCGCAAGAACATTGTTTTTATAATGAGTGCATAAAGTTTCATAAATTAATTGCATAAAGGATAGTGATTAGTGAAAAAGCAATGGCGTCTTCGACAATCTTCGACAACAATTCAAACACTGCGCAGAACAATTATTAATAATTAATTAATTAGGGACAAATTTATATCGAAATATATATTGGAAAGTTCTTATATATTTCGATATAAATTTGTCCCTAATTAATTAATTATTAATAATTGTTCTGCGCAGTGTTTGAATTGTTGTCGAAGATTGTCGAAGACGCCATTGCTTTTTCACTAATCACTATCCTTTATGCAATTAATTTATGAAACTTTATGCACTCATTATAAAAACAATGTTCTTGCGAATCTTCTCATATCACTTTTGTTCACATTTTGATTCTAGTTTCGGTGAGTATTAAATATCTTCACGGAAGATCGCGATGGTCGCCGTTACGAAATCATAGACGCCATAAAATAGAAATTAATAACTAACAATTTAGAGTTAAATTCTTTACGAATATTATATATGAATGTAGCCTGAAGTTTCAGCTTTGCACTGAAGTTATAAAAGTTCATAAATTAATTGCAGAAATTGAGTAATTAATAATTTTTCACTGCCGGAGCCATTTTATCCTTTTCTATCCCCTCTCTGTCCCTGTCTACCACGTGACCAGCTCTTCGACGACCTCCTTGCCTATTCTATATTCCTACTACTTTCCCGAGCATATGGTCCAAAATCATAGATGGCGCTGATCGCAGGCGGTAAAATTTTTGTTCGAACTAGATACTTCTTCCGGTTATGTGCTCTTAATATATCTGAATAAATCAATTCGGCAGTAGAAAATGAATAAATTTGCAAGTTTCAGTAATTAATTCATGAACATTTATAGCTGCACAGCAAAGTTGAAATGATATAATGTTTAATTTAATAATTAATACTTACCTGAGCGATAGGTTTCGTATTTTCTGTATCTAATGATTATTTATATCTTCGTTTTCTTTCTGTAATAAATAAGATTGCTATAGAAAACTGTTTGTCTTGCATAGTATTCCTATTATTTTGTAATGAATATATACTAGCATAATTAGGCGTAGAGAATAAATTTTTTTATTAAGCAATTTTATTTACAATTATTTATTTACAATGTTTTCATAGGCGAAAAATGAGTACAAAATAAAAAATAGATTGAAGAAAAAGTACGAACTATGGGCGGGAATCGAACCCGGGACCTCCAGCTCAGGAATTTTCGAATGTTTATCTTTCGAAAGGTTTATCTCGAACTAAATACAATAAATCCATCGTTTTTGTTTATTTTGTTTTTCCCAATCTGAAATCTGCAATACTCGCAGAAAATTATCTAGATGAAAGTATCTTGTTTCGTGCAGCGTAAATTAATAAAAAAGATAAATCTGTTTGGAAAAGGTGGAAGTTTAGAATTGCTGGGCGTTTAAACTAATTCTTAGTTATCCTTGATTGATAGTCGAGTGGTAAGCGTAATACGATTGAAGAGTTCCGTCGCGATAAGAGAGAAAGTCGGGAATGGGTTTAAGTAGAGTCAGAAGAGAAGATTTGGTTATCGCGAATCGCAACCTAGCCGGAGTACAAGCAAATGTTCACCGATCCTGCGTACTTGGAAATCGACAATCGGGAATATATTCGAGGACCGCACTTCTCTCTGATTCATCCTCATCTCCCGTTTCTTTCACTTTGCTCGGCAAGATTTCTTCCTGTCCGGTTGCATTTTCGTTTTCTTTCCTTTAGACGACTGCTTCTCTAACCACGGATATAAATCACTTTCTCCTCAAATTCGAACGGTTTTACGTCGCTTGTCGAGACGTGTATTTATAAACACATATATACATATAAATGCACGTACGAGTTTCGCGCAATTGGTTAGGAAAAATACCAAGATGATCTAATGCAAAATAATAACGGAGTGTATTTTTTAAAAAAGCAAGGAACGATTCGATTGCAATCGTGTACAGAATTGAAGGAAATTCGTTAGGATTGTACGCAATCGGTTGTTGTTGGCCGCCGCTTAAAAATAAATCGCAATACGGAGGAATGAACGGCTTGCACTTGGTCACGATAGTTTTACCAGCAACGATTCGGAACCTTCTTAGGGAGAAGCGAACGATTGGACGGAGGCAACGAGGAGGAAATAATTGGGAGGGAAGGCCGATTATCATCCGGAATTGGTTCGAGTAACGTCGGAGATTTACGCGGCGCCGACCGTTTGCAACCGCGGAAATTAATTTTCGCGCATTGACTGCTAATCTTATTTCCCGCGTGGCGGCGAATGGCGTCGCCTGTTCACCGTCACTGATAAACTAATTCTGCCGCGTTTTCATCATTTTCTATAACCGACCGAATCTTTCCGCAAATTCTCGTGAACGCTTTTCTGAATTCTCGCAATTTGGTGCTTACTCCGCGTTTATTCGATTTCGGCGATTCTATTGGACGACGTGGGATCAATGACGAGGAGTTTTCAACGAAGCAAGCGAATCGAATCGTAAATCAATGCGCGTGGTGAAAATGGAAAGATCGATCGGGTGTGGCGCGAAAATATAAAATCTCTGTCGCGACAGGAAGATATTTTTGGCACTAAAGAAAAGGAAGAAACGAAACTTGTGGACGTGAGAGGTGTAGGGGGGACGTGGCGAAAACGATTACGATCGATTGCTTTTTTTCCTCTTACTTGGTGACTTTATCCGATAGGTTGAACGCGACGCGATAATCCGCTTGCTGCCGCGCAGACAAATCGTCGATCACGCTCATCGGGTAGGATAGGCCACCGTTAATCCTCGGTCTGATCCGAGATTATGTTTCACGCGAGCATACCCCCGCACGCTCGTCCTTCCTTCTTTTCATTCGCGACGTTCACGAACGTACAAACACGATCGCAATCTCGACGACCTTTTTCGAAAAATCCGTGGCGAAAATTAATTTACCTAACCCGTTTGTTTGCTACATCGAATCGATCGCCGGAGCCGGTAACGTTTCGTGACAATTTGTGCTTCGTTACGGGTCTCTACGTCAGACCGTGCGGTATCGATCATCGGCCTATTCGGCGAGGTACGCAGCAATGCTCCAAACTCAGCTTTTCGGAGCTTTCCCTTCGAATAACGCCCTTTTACACCAATCAACTAATGTTCCTAACTACTCGCGAGTTTTATCTCTCTCTCTCTCTCTCTCTCTCACTCACTCACTCTTTCTCTTTCATTCGATCCCCTTCTCGTTTCCATTTCGAAACAAAACAATCGAAACGATAGGGCGCTTTTTTATTTTTCGCTAGCGATATATCGAAGAGAACAATGGACCAACTCATTGTTCACGGTGTAGGAGAGTTCACCGGTGCTTTACTTTTCTCGATGCAACGGCGATAGACAGTTTCGTCCATCGATAATTTGCTGCACGAGTCGAAGAGTATCCCTTTGAAACTCGAAGCGTATTCGAGTTCTCGAGACGGTGGAAAAATTGAGTAATACATAGTAGTAGTAGTAGTAGTAGTAGTAGTAGTAGTAGGGGGAGGAGGAATAGTTGTAGCAGTAGAAATAGTAGTAGGAAGAGAAGGAGAATCGCAACCGACACGCGTTTCGTTACGAAAGCAGCGCTGTTCCGATTTTTAAAGGGAAAAGTAAACGCAAACACAAGCTTTGCTTCCTCTCGGCTCGGTTTTGCGGTGAAAGACGAAACTTCGCGGTGACTCTTCTACCATGGCGTTGCACCACTTTCCTGGCTTCTGGTTTGCTCGGCAGGAGGTAACTCGAGGCCTCGCGCCCTCTCTGGAACAATCTTCTTTCCTTGCTTCACGGCTCTCGACTCGAAACGTCCGGCCTCTTGTCTCCTTCCATCTCCACCCGTTCCTCCTACCCCCCTTAAACCATTACCGGCAATTCGACTATCGACCGTCGCCTGCATCTTTTTCAAATTTCCCACTTTTCGCCTGGCATCTGTCTTTCCAACTTTGTAACCCTATGTTATTAACGCAAATGTAGAGTAAGAACGGTGCACAGCGTCGCGACGTATACGTAATCGTCTAATCGGTGTAACCCGAGATAACGACCTACTTAGCTCCGAACATTTTACGCTGATCCGTACGAACCACGAATTTTTTAGCCATCTCCGTGCCAAGTTCAACCGCTTTAACATCTCTCGCGACGTTTCTCTCCTTGCCGTATCTTTTGTTAATCGGTAATCGAAACCCATCGACAGGATCAATGTTCCGTGTCCCATCCCCATCCTAGATCCGCGTGCACGGTTCACTTGGTCGAGCTTTTTAATCGTAAGACCGGATTCGATCAGTGGATATCGCAAACCGAACGTTGATTGCCAATTTTTCACCCGCTGAAAGACACGCGAGAGGACATCAATTGGGAAAAACAAGGACGGAGAGTTGGACAGGGTATGGAAAAGTTGAACGAACGGGAACTAACGGTCGATAGATGTTGACGTAAAATTGATTAAAAGACCGATCACGAAGAAATATTAAGCAGAAACCGGTACCCAGTACGACGAGTACCACCGAGTATTACCGACTCTGGATTTTCCGCCGATTTTTCCTTCCTCTTTCAACACGCCCAATTGATGGTGCTTTGAAAGAAGGCTTCTCCAGGATGTCGCGGCAATTGATTCAAAAGTGATTCAGAGAGGAAATTATTTTCTCGAAAAAGGTCCAACTTCTTTAGAAAAAGGGAACGCGTTAATTAGCATAGACGTGGATCGGTCGTAGTAGCCTGAATCCGCTCGTTTTCTCTCTTACTCTCATACCCCCCTATTCACCGGGCAAATTCATTTCGCGGTGAACGATAACGCGTCGAATTTCTTGAGCAGGAAAATGGAAAAAATCGCGATCGAAATTTGGGTCAGAGGCGAGAATGAAGGGGAAGGAGAACGCAAGGCGTGGTAAAGTGGTCCAATTCGATCCCTTCCCGTGCAATTAAACCCAATCGATCAGTTGGAATAGAAACGAAAAACAACGAAGCCCGAGAGCGATAGATCCTCGCGATTTCCATGCGAAAATCGTTATTTAATCTCGCGTAACGAACGGTAATATCGAAAAAGTAACGAATAATAGCGACGCTTCTTTCATCCATCGCCATATGTAACGTCGCGACGCAAAAATACACTTCCTTCTCGATCTAAATTTAAACTAACTCGACCCTAAAACTTTTACCACGACATACGTCTCTCATAAAGGGAAGAACCTTTCTCTCTTGGATAAAATCTCGATTTCCGACCCAAAGGGAAATATTCCTGCGATAATCGGAAATGACGTTTCACTCGTGCCAAGATTAATTCGAACTCAACAAATTGGTTGTATTTTCCACGCGACGGGGACTGTTGGCCAAACAGCGCGCCGTCATTCGCTTCTCTCCGAGTCGGACGTCTATCGTCTGCCAGTAACGTTTGAGAATATTTAAAGGAAACAATCGTTGTTGACACGGGGAACGAGAAATAAAGAAAGAAATGGGAATTTTCGATTCGGAGATCCGTAGTAGCGAAAGAAATGAAAGGAATTCTAGGAAACATAGAAACGACGTCGAAATACCAATCTGTTTTTGGTGTGTTTTATTGATCGGATAGGGTTGTAAATACAGTTGGCAAATTCATCGGAAATACAATCGAAACACGTATATACAAATATGTACAACGCCGATCTTGATCCTTCCTGCCACTGGGAGGAACAGTCCTCACGAGTGCGTGTGCGCTGCAACATCTATTTTAAATAAGCTTAAGTTTCAATACTCGTAGTTTTCGCTTCGAACGAAGCCGAGATACAGCCGCTCGCATGCTTGTAGGTACAAAATTATAAAAAGAAAGAGAAAAAGAAGAGGAGTAAAATAAAGATGGGAGGGGAAGGGAAGGAGCGGTGGTGTAAAAAAGATAGAGAAGGACGTAGAGAGTAAGAAAGAAAGGGGGGGGGGGGAAATGGAATGGGACGATTAAAGGAATTAATTCAAAAGTTGGACAATGGCGGCCGAAAAGCAAAGACGAGGAAAAATGGATGAAAACTCCTACCAGGGACTAGAAAACGTTTATTCGACTCGATACTTTTTCTCTAAAGCTTACGAGCTTCCGTGCATGCGTGCGTGTTTGCGTGTTCGCTTGCTCGCGCTCTTCTTTCCTCTCGTCGTTTCTTCCTTCTTTCTCTCCTTCCTTCCTTCTTTCCTTCCTTCCTTCCTTCCTTCCATTCCATTCCACGCAATGCATCTTACTAAATATCGATAGAGCTTATCCTAATCCTACTACGCGACTATACTTATACGTATCGATATGGATAAGAATACGATCGCGCTCGCGATCGTTAGACGGAGAACACTTCGGCTTACCTATTTTTCGAAAATGGCAGTCTTTGATTCCATGAATCTCCCGCTAATGATACTCGTTTCGCACGAGAGATGGGGCAAATTACAGGTAAGGAAAGAAACCGTTGGTCGTAGAAAAAAAATGGAAAAAGTGTCGTCCGCACCGAATTACCGCGAATCGTCGCGACGTGTATTTCCTTTAGCAAGTTTCAGCGAGAAGCACGATTTTCCGTGAGATCTCCCTCGAGATTCTTCGTGCGATCTCTCCGTGGAGATGTCGCGCGGACGAGCGAGAAACGAGAAACGGTATCGTCGAATCGGACAGTGAACCGTGCACGGTTATCTTACGCGTATATCTGTTACCTCGAGACCTCGAGACGATACGAGGGTATACAGAGGATACCCTGGCTCATCTACGAAATTAGCGAAAGTTAATCTCGCGATTTCCGCGAGAATCGAGAAAATAGATATTCGAAATAGAACATATCGAGCCGTTCCTCGATACCTGTAGAATAAAAAATAAATAAAAATTTGGAAAAGTGCGGAGTGACGTCGAAGCGTGGTTGGTCGGTCGTAGGTGGTCAGTTGGTCTCACCGAGGCTCTCCTCCACGATCTTTTCGAGCTGACCGTTGAATTCCCTCGACGATTTGTCGCTGGAAGCGGAGGAACCGAGCGAGCCGACTTCCTGCAAAAGGCCCTTCTTCAGGACAATTAGGTACCCCTAGCTCTGAATCGTGTCGGTCGTGTATTCCTCGTGCAACGCCAAAAGATGACGGGGGACGTCCAAGGCTGTATGCAAAGTAACGGTGACCCCGCGATTCAAGCTGACGGCCGGATAGAAGACGCCGTAGAGATCGCGAAACGCGATCCCTCCCTGCGGCTGATCGTTCACGAAGAAACGAAGCGTATGCGTGGTGTCCAGATCCAAGAGAACGCCCACCGTGGAACCCTGTTGCACGCCACCTTCGGTCCTCTGCGCGTGTCCCCCGCCGTGCATGAACCAAGAACGCTGCCGGTCTATGTACATGCTCCAACCCTTATCGTCCTTGCCTACGGGTAATCGAACAAGCAATTGCCGCTACAATTTCCCGCTAGGACGATCGGCAAATAAAGCGATTCTAAGCGAACAAACACCAGTGGCGTTGCTCGATTAAACGGCCACCATCCGAAAAGAAGATTCCATTCGTTTATTCCATCTATTTGTCCGACACTTTGTGTCTTTCACTCACCGAGCATTCGATCCCGCGACACTTCGGCTCTCGCTATACCGAACGCTGGATCCGTGTCGCTGTGATAACGGTCGATCGTCAGCTCCCAATAATGGACTCCCCGTGAAAATCCGACGCTCGAGAGGACGACCCGGTGCTCGTAACCTTCGCAGAACGCGCTCATCGCGTCCTCGGAAATTGATACCTCCTGTGGTATACCGGATGCCCCGGTCGCCCACGAGAACCACGCCACTGTCGAACAAAGCGATACGGATCCCCGCTAAATAATCGACCGATCGATTCTGCTCGGCTTCTAGCCAAGCACGAGCTTAACCGACCATTGTTCTCGAATGACGAGCGACGAAATCGAGTGGACACAAACTCGACGTGACGGTTGCCGGGTGATTCGGAATATATCGGAAAAAGGACACGGCAAAATAGAAACCGGAAGTACGAATAAACCAGACCGACGACTCGCGCCAGCCCCGTATAAACGGAATTTCCCCTTCCGATATGAATTCCCGATATCTTCGAGACACGAATCGCGTAATCTTTCACGCGACAAATTTCTCCTTTTCTTCTCCTCTTTTTCTCCTTTTTTTCTTCTTTCGTCATACGCTCATACCGTTCTATCGACTTTTACACGAGATCATACTCCATCGATGCGACCCGTTTCCGATAGTCTATGCTTTCGTCCGTATTTTTCATCGCGCCGTTTATTTTATATCGCGTAGAGGGAGAAGGTATTCACGCGACCCGTTCATTTCGCTTGATCGAAGAAAACGTTGAAATCGTGCGCGCGCGCGCGCGCGCGCAGAAACGGAAGAGAACACGAGTGGGAAACTCACCCTCGGCTGTCTGCAGACCGATCAGCTCCGAATACTCGCCTTCCCCGGCGCTGTTAAATGCCCTCACCCTGGCATTGTAGAGAGAGTTGAAATGCAATCCGTCCACTGTACAGATCGTTTCTCGGCCACAGTACACTTCCTGATCAAACACACGACGGAACAATTAATTCAACCAGCTGGATTCTCCGCAATTGAACGAAACGTTACTCTCTGCCAAACAGAGATCCAAGGCCTTCCGATCGAAACTAATTTTCTTTTCCGATCACACCGACCGATCACACACACTTGGGGGAAACGCGATTCGCCGTATAATATACGAAAAATGGCGTACTCGTCGCCGAACGAACAGTTTTCTCTTTACCCTAAATTCTCCGCCGCAACCATCGTCCAGTTCCAATAGATATCCTTCGATGGCGGGACCTCTTTGACCGGCACACCCAACGATTCCGTGTCCAGGTGGAGGTTGCCAAGCGACAGTCACGCTGTTGTTCTCGGCGCTGCACTCTTCCGGTATCAATATCGGGGCTCCAGGGGCTACGAAAATACCCAAATAAATTTCGCCATGAATCGACAAAATAAGAGAGGAGAGGGGGGTATGGGGGTGGGGAGAGAAAAGTAAGAAATATTTTGTACGATCCCGATGATTCGAGCGCCGATTTTCACACCTGCGGTCGCGTATAACGATTAACGACGTTAACGAGATGTTGGAGAATAATCGTACGCGTAGAAATTATCGCGTAGATCGTGGAGCGGAACACGATCGAAATAGACGAGGAAAGACCATGTCCGTATCGACGGGAGATTTATCGCGCGAATCGAACGAGAGCCGACCATGTCTAGATATACCGTTTCTTGATCCCCTTATCCCATAGTCGAGCATATGGCCGCTTCCAACAAACGGACAACAAAGTATTCGAAATGCCGGAAACAAAGGTACCTCTCTGCTGCTAGAGCGAAAGAAGCGAGTTGAAACTATACACGGATACGCTGCAGGGACACGTTTTATCGATAAAACTTATCCGAGAAGCACCCAAGCCAAGTGCCAAACTTTCTTACGATTCACCAACGTTCGAGAATACGATTCGTCTTTCGCGTAATCAGAGGTGCCAAACTGCGCACCGAGATCAGCGATCAAAGATGTCACCGTTCGCGAACAACCATAAACATAGCAAAATATCTCCGTTATAACTATACGAACAGGATGGCAAGGTTTTCTCCAGCAATTACCTGCAATCGGGAATCGCTCTTCTCCTTCCGATGCTGCGTCCAACATGAAGCAATCGTTTACGTACGATCAACGTTATAAAACGGATCGATCTTTATCCGACGATACATTTACCCGACCATTTCTTTTTTCCTCCTTTTCCTGTATCTTTCACAGACCAGAGAGATCGATGCTCAATCGTAAGAGATAAAGGTGTTTCTTTACTCGCAGTACATAACGCGCGTTATAAAAATTCATTTCGTAGATACTTGAACCCTCTGGTCACTACTCTCTGGTCACTGCTCGTCACAAGCAGGAGAAGGAGACAGGAAAGAGAGAAAGAAAAGAAATGGACATCGTTCGTGATAAAGGGAAAGAAGAGGCAATTTTCTAGATAGACGGAACGGTGTATATAGGATGACGAAGGGAGGGAGCGAAAAGAGAGAAGGCTTACGTTTCAACTGAACAAAGGTAAGTTGATCGATAGCTCGTCGCAACGGCTTGTCATCGAGAGTGAGATCGAGCAACGGCAGTCGAGCAATTTCTTGTACACCCTCGGCACCGCCCCAAGAGCCAGCGGCGGTAGCGGCTCTGACCGAGAGCATACCGCCAATTTGAAGAAAAGCCGCGCTGTCGGTCTCTTTCAGTGCTTCGATGCAAAAGGTGAGAAGCGCCGTGGTCGCCTGTAGGTGAGACGCGCATCTCGCCACTTGGTCCCTTAAAGAGCGCACCCTTGCCTCGCGGGTTTGTCGAGCCGCTTCGATCAATCGAGATTTCCTCGCCTGCAAAAGACTCACCAAGTTTGCCACCCTGTCCTCCACCTCTTCTTCCAACGTCGCACACTCTTCCTGTCAACATACCACCAGCTCGTCAATCTACCTAATTCGAAGGTACACGGGCCAGCAACTACACAGGTCGGAGCAATGGACAAAACGTGGAAAGAGAAGAAGCAACGATGCAATTATCGTCCAGTCTTCTCGTAATTTCTCGTAATTTCTCGTAATTTCTCGAAATTTCTCGAAATTTCGCGTACATCGACTGTGGCGCGAAATTAAAAGGAAATAAAAAGGAGAAGAGAAAACGTGCAAAGCAAATACTCACGTGCACTTTGTCCGTCATTCCTTTGAGCCTTTGTATAAATTCCGTGGTCGAGCGAGCTCTTTCCGACAGTTGTTGCAGGTTTTGCGAGAGCTCCGTCTGTAATCGCGTGAAACGATACGCGTTAGCGGCAAATTTTTACATTCTTTCTCGGCTTTTCTTTTTTTCTCCGACGCCTTGCCATTAACAAGGAGAGGAAACTATCGTGTGTCAATCGTCTGTTTGTCCTTCCACCGACTCGTTCGCCTGGCACCCTGGCTTTACCTATTCTATCCGTTCTATCGTCTGTAGATGTACCTATCTTTTACAACGCGACGGGGGATAATCGAATTATTCCTGCGAAATTGATCTGACAATCGCGGCTCTGTTAATTTCCGCAGTTTTACTCGCTAACTTCCAGACGGAAATCGCAGGGACGATCGCACGGACGATCGCACGGCGCGTCGTGGTGAGATTCTTCTCGAATCGGCTAGATTAACCGATGAAAGTTCTACTCGCTGATCGATTTTTCCTTTCCCGTTTGTTATCGAGTAGCGACTACGTGGGTGTCGAATGCCGTACGAAATGGCGAAACGAGCCACGGCTAAATGCGGAGCAATCGCACCGCGTTGCATCCGTTAATTAAGCGACTCGATCGAATCTCGCTCGGCCACTCGTTGCAGGTAATTGCTACAGTCAAGGGTGCTCGGATCGATCCTCACGGAGCATTCTCCTTTCTCGAGATACTCCTTGACGCGCACATCGCGTGCTTGCCTCTCCGGGGTACAACAGTCCACCGTTATTTCGTAATGCGAAATTCACCGTTGTCTTTTCTCTGGCTGTTCGTTGCTCCAACGGGATAATTTGTAGAAATTGCTGGTATCGCGGAAACACGCCGCGAAGGATGATACGGAGAAAGGGGCTAAAATAAGAAAAGCGAGAAAAATCGCAACGAGACCCTGCACTGGAATATTATACGCGTAGGATAGAAGGATCGAACGAGAGGGAGCATCTTTCGTAGCGATAGATCAGCATCTATCGCGAAAGCTACCAGACGCAAGGAAGATGGCGCGTCGCTTGCTTTGATCCAAACGCACCATGACGCGTTAAATTAAAAGCCGGGTCGTCGACCGCTCCTTCTCTCTCCTTTTATCCGCAAACCACGATGCACTGCATTGTCATCGAACGGTGACAATGTTTCTGCTTCCTTCTCCTTTTCATCTCCGAGTCTATCTCGCTGTTAAATAGGCAAACGGTGGCTGGTGGCTAGCGACAAACCTGACGCGAAAGCGAGAAGTTTAATATCGGTTTGCACGGAGGGAGTGTGGCAGCGACACCGCAACGCGGTAATCGGAAAAGATGTGGCTGGATAGCCGCATTCGAAAAGGTTTCAACGCGAGTCAGACGAAAGAACAGAAACGAAAGAATACCATAGTAGTCTAGGGTATATAAGGTGGATCGGTGGATCACAGAGACACCCCGTCGAAAATAACGTTCCAGATGCTTCAACCGTGGCAGAGAAATAACGCTTTCGGCGTGGAATCGATCGTAGCTGCTCCGCTAAGCTGCTACGCAACCAAAGATAAGCATACGTACGTACATCGTTCAGACTTGCCACGACTACCAGAGAACTAGGAACAGGCAATCGTACCACGTTCTCGTAATCGACGCTGATCAACTTATACAAATGGATCTCGATTGTCGCGACGATTGATCGAATCATTCTCTCTATCCAGCTGCTGACGATTCTCGACAGCTGCCTTCCCGTTTAACGTCGTCGCTTCGCGTCGGCTCGTTCGTGCGCGGATCTTTGCGAGAAAACGCCGCGACAACTAGATACCGTAATTATATAGATCCGAATTTCGCGAAAGTACAATTTACCTCGACATCGACTCCGATATGCGTACGTTGTGTCGTTGTAATTGCGCGTTAATCACGTCTCGTGTATATCCCGCGACAAAGCGTAACCGTGACTCTACGTCCTACGCGAATATCGTGGCTTTCTTCTTCTCGAGTTCCTTCTTAAAATGCGCAAACTGCAATCGCAAATAACGAAATACCACGCGTCTCCATTTTTCTCTTCTTCGCAGTCTTTACAGGCAGAAACGGCATCTTGGGAAAACACGAAATACCTGCAAAAGGAAGGAGGAAAGAGCGATAAAGGCAAACGTCGCGTTTCCCTGAACCCGACGAGACGAAATCGAAGCCACTGTCGCGGTTCCTGCTTTTAATACGTTCCGATAACGAACGGTATAATTGGGTAATATTTTCAATGAAACGGAGAAAAAGTAGCGGATAATTGCCGAAGCATGGTCATACTGCACTTTGTATATCGCGCCGATACGAAAGGGACGAACCCCTCTCGTGGGGCTCTTGACCCGAGACAAACCTACGCGTTGGCGCGCGCGCGCACGCGCGTACGATCGATTCGGAGAAAATATAAACCCAGTCAAATATCCCCTCTTTTCGCACATATATACGCTCTTTGCATCTAAACTCGTGTCTTCGATCTCGTTTAACGCCAGATCGAAAGAGCGCAAAAGAAACGGCTAAAAATTGTTCGCAAGATTGAGGAATAGATTTGGAGAAAAGCTGCAAATTTGCTCGATCTAACAGCGCGTGTGTTTGAAAAGAAAGCGATAAAAGAAGTCTTTAATCGGTTATTCTCTACGCGCCCTGCGGTACACGTACAAACGTCGTATCGCTCCCTACCCTTAAACAGGGTGACTCACCGTTTTTCCACGTTCCATTCAGTATTCGTCTTTGCCGCTTCTACTCGAAATATCGAATACGCTGTAATCGCGTTACGTTTGCCAACGAGTCTTTGGCGAAGTGAACGCTGCGTTATCGACTCGAATGGAATTTTTCGAAACGCGTCGTCTTCGCAGAGATTCCCGTGACTTGAAATAACCCGATCCAGTTTAAATGAACTATCGTTGCGAAACGTGGCAGCATTTACGAATCCGATAGCTAAAAATCTGCACGTGCTATGGCGACGATATTTTTAGAAGATGAAAGGGTAGGAAACGAAGCGACGACTACGACGACGACGACGACGACGACGACGACGACGACGACGACGACGACGAGGAGGAGGAGGACTCGCTGGAGACCACGAACCGAGTCGTCGCTCGTCAAACGCAAACACTCTCGACGATATTTCTCGATAATGGAAAATATTTCGAATGCGTCGAATCGTTTATCCAGCGAAATTTCTACGACTAAAAACCGTCGTTTTAGCCGTCGACGAATGGTAGATCGTAGACAGAGAAGGGGAGCGAAAAGAGAGAAAAGAGTATCTTATCGACTCGGCTAGGGTGCATTTTCTATCGTTAAATTTGAAATGAAACAAGCCGGGCCAGCTGAAGGGAAAGCAAAGGGCGAGTGATAATAAAGGAAGCATAGGTGGGCGTCGGTGATGGTGATGGTGGTGGTGGTAGTGGTAGTGGCAGTGGTAGTGGTTGGCGGCAGCAACGGCGAAGAAATTTTCAGGCCAAGGCACGGCACGCCACGGTACGCCACGGCACATTTCGTGTGTAGCAGCACTAACTAAGTAACGAGACACGCGTTCTCCTCTTTACGTATGATCGTACCCTCTCACCCCAACGGCGCGTATCGCGCAGTTATCACGCCGATCGAGCTGCCATAAATATCCGAGACGTCCAAGCGAACGCTCTTTCGCTAACAAAATTCACCAGCCGACGCTGCGTACCGCTCGAAATCTTACCAATCCATCGATTCCGTGGTTGCAATTGTACGTGCGTTATTTTAGCTAGATTCGCGAAAGTAAAGGACGCGCGGAAGAGAAAAAATCTATTCGCATGGAGTAAATTAGGCGAAACCTCGACGTACCAAAAGTGAAAGCCTACGTCGACCCATGTCACGAGTACTCTACGCGATACTCATACGCGTACCTTTTGTTTATTTACCGATACGGGGACTCGTAGCAAGTATCAAAGGCTGGCACCGTTTCAACAATTATTTTCGTTTCTAAGCTCTCTCGTCCCCGTTGCACTTTCCATTTCTCCTACATTATCATCCCGTAATTCTCCCAAAGCGAGCCTTTCCATTCTCTTTCGCCGAAATCAATGTCACAAGGAACAGGCTTCTTCCGCCGACCATCAGCCAACTTCATCCCTTCATCCCCTGCCTCGGCCTCATCCCTTCTGTTGTTCAACTTGGTTGCGTGTACGCGCTCTATCTGCTTTCGCGACGTTCTCCCCGACGTCACGGGTTATCTCGCGAATTTTCGTTCTACGTACACTTCTCGCACTCGTCTCTGCCTCTCCGACGACAGCGCGATCGAAATACGATCGATCTTCGAAATCGATCGTGAAAAATGCTCCGAAAACGAATATAAATTCGACTCGTTGCATTCGACGAGAATTGAAATCGAATTCAACGCGGTTAAAAAAGATTCTCGGGTACGCCATTTTAAGGTACACACTTGGTTAGCTCGCAACACGCTGAAAAGGAGCGAAAGAGAGAAAAGCAGGCAACGACAATTTTCTCGAGAATTTAACCCCGGTCCATAGATCGTGGCCAGCAAATGTTGCAGCAAACGCTAGTCGGTCATATGAAAGGCGTTTTACGTTGTATCCTCACGGACGCCATTTTCCAGCAAGTTTCCATTTATGGAAGCTAATGGTACGCGACCCGTCTAGAAGGTCACGTGATTCACTATTGCCAAGGCATCGGTCTTTCGATTTTCTACCAGTTTCTGTTTCTCCGAGGCTGTCGCTCTCGTTCGAAACTCGTCGAAAACCCTCCTCCTTCCCGTCTACAAACTAAACGTATCGGACAAATCCATCGAAACGTTCCTCCACCAATTATGCGACCAAGATTCGCTGGTTCCTACGTTATCGGTGATAATCCAGTTACCGTTGTCAACGGTCTCGTTGTACCAAAAACGTATCAAAACCGTATCAAAGGCGACAGCGTGAGAACGAGATGAAACCGCAACGAAAGGATACGAGAGCAGAATCGTGTGTATCGAGGGGAGAAAATATAATAAGGACATTTGCGGAGAACAAAGCGCGCGCGTTCCAATTTTTTCTCTATGCTCTCGATTATACGCGAAAAAGCCACGAGGACGTACGTTCTTTTCAACGGGTTCATCGAGCCCCTTTCTCGTTCAAAAGCATCCAACAATACCAATTTTACGCCCCTATGGCAAGCCGGATGAGCGTTGTTTTATCTCGATCGCGATCCTCGGCAACGATTAGTCGAGGAGCCGTGATTTGCCAAATTATTGCTACGTATGAACCTTGGATGGAAAATTCGGCAGGGATGGGAGAAACTTGCGTTGCATTTGCAGGAAAAGCGATCCAAGTCGGCGAAAATTGCGAAAATTGCGAAACTGTGCAAGATGAGGAGCAACGGACGCCAGCGATATCGGAAGCTTTTCTCTTTCTGTAACCGGAGGTCGTTGATCCTGATCATCGTAGTTGGCGCGCGCATCAAAATAATCACAACGATCGAGTTCCGTGAACGAGGTTTGCAACTACTTTCGTCAAGGTCGTCCTCCAACATAGGTACACAGTCGAATCTAGAAGCCCCGCCGAACATAGGTATACAGAGCAGTGGATCAACCAGGCGTTGGCACGCCCAATTTTGTTTCCACACCTTTCTACCAGCTGGTAATAGCGGGAAAAAACTATTTCTATCGATTAACGAGTAAATACAATATTTTTTTTAACAACGCTTAACGAGAAAGTAGCGGAAAAAATTGAAGAATTTGCCACGCGAACAAGTATTTGGCACGCTTATCGTCTCGATGCTAAGTTTTCCATATGCCTATATACATATGTATATTATCAAACTGTAAACGAAATATTCCTTATTCCAAGCAAAACACATCCAACGATGCGATTAAATTAGTCAATTCTCACCGACGAAATTCTCCATATTTCAACTGCTTTAACTCCGGAAAGAATATATCACGAAACTTCGATTCGAGTATAAAAGTATACCAATAGGCATATAAAACGGACTCAGATCAGCTATTGTACGATATTTCTTTCCAATATTTTGGCCAAAATTTACCAACGGATTTACCACTGGAATAAAAAATATTTCCTTTATAATTCGGTAATATACGATCTTCCCTGATGTTATCCTGATGTGATCGAATAATACAGATAAATTATCCGTAAAATCTTTGGCGTAGGTAAAATTTTTCCCTCCTAAGTTTTTCGATTTTTTTCACTACTTCCTCCTAAGGCTACCTTACCAAAAAGCTTTCTCTACGAATGATCAAAACTATGGATAAAAGTTATTTCTACGGATAACGGCTTAACCGTACTGTTGTGAAACAGTTTTCACTCGTCTATTATCCGTTCGCATAAATTTACGGAGAAAAAATTAGACGAATACACGTGCGAATACACGTTGGATCGTGCTCTACGTAGATACGAAAGGCTACACTGACCTTCTGAGCTTTGCAAGCAGCGGCCAACGGCAGCACGTCGTGGGGATGATCACGAAGGCAAAGCGTGCATATCGCGATCTTGCAAAGAGCGCAGTAAAGCGTCAACGGTTCGCCGTTGTGATCGGCGCACAGGAGCGAAGTTTCCGCGACTGGGCCGCGAGAACCTTTGCATCCTCCGTTCGACTGCCAGCTGCCTCGAGGTGGGCCCAGGTTATGCGTTGCCAAAGGTCCCCGTTTCGGATGGCACGATTCCCTGCATCCGTCGCAGTACAACACCTGAAATCATCACGCGCGTCTTTCTTCGTGCCGGTAACCTCTCCCCCACCAATTTCACCTCGTACGATTTCGAGATAATTAAATGAAATGACAAGTGGCTATATTTCCTTTCGCTCTTCATCCTCCTTCGACATCGTAACGCGATTAACTAAGTCTACCCGAGTTTCCATATTTTCCTCTTGCCGTATTATAACCTTTCTATGCGTGTATTATATAGTATAATATAGTATAGTATAGTATATTATAGTATAGTATAGTATATTATAGTATCGTATCGTATCGTATCGTATCGTATCGTATCGTATTGTATTGTACTATATTGTACCATATTGCATTATATCGTATAATATTATATTATGTTATACGTGTATAATAGAATCGCGTAGATACCGCGGTGTTTTCGACGAGACAAAAAATGGAGGAGAACGAAAAACTGGTATAGAAAGAATATATAGAGGGGGGGGGGGCAGAGAGAGAGAGAGAGAGAGAGAGAGAGAGAGAGAGAGAGAGAGAGAGAGAGAGAGAAGCGTTTACTGACCTCGCATTGTTCGCAGGCGACGGTAGCGTCCCGGGGCTCGGATTCGCACATTTGACATTGCAATCTCGTGTTTTTCGACTCTTGATATTTCTCTACGATATGTTGCATCGCTCTGTACTTGGGCAAATTATGGGCTCCGCCTTCGTCGAAGTAAACGGTCTTCTGACAAACAGGACAGGAGAGACACAAAGTGCCGCCAGACGGTGGAAAGCCTCCGTTTCCGGGTGTGCCGACATAGCTTCCAGGTCGCGAGCTGGTCGACGTACTGCTGCACACCACGCCGGAATCTGTCTCGGAAAGAATCGAGAGTTTATCGGCTTCCTGATCGGAGCCCGGCGCATTCGACGAATCGGCCGTGGACTCCGGAGGAGAGTCCGGTGGTGCTTGTAAATTAATCGCACACGCCAGACAAAGGGCATGCCAGCAGGGCAACAGCACCGGCTCAACGAACAACTCTTTGCAACAAGGGCATCGTAGCTCGTCCTCCATCCTCACCACTCGTCGTCACAAGAGACTCGTCGCGCGCGCACTTCGCGCCTCCTTCTACTTCACCGACGACCTCGACCGACCGTTCGACCTTCTTTCCCACCGATCTTCTCTCTTCTTTTCCTCCTTCTTCCTCTTCTTCTTTTTCTTCTTCTTCTTCTTCTTCTTCTTCTTCTTCTTCTTCTTCTTCTTCTTCTTCTTCTTCTTCTTCTTCTTCTTCTTCTTCTTCTTCTTCTTCTTCTTGCTCCTCTATATTTCGGATACGCTTACTTCTTTCCTAATTCCTTTGAGACAGCGTTTCCTACGTCTCGGGCTTGTAGTTCCTTTCCTTCAACATACCTTTCGTTCCGAGCCAAGTATAGTATTATGTTCGTCTATATTTCGCCACGTTATCCTCTTGAGCTTGTTACGGTAACGAATGAACAAAAATTATGATACTCTTGCTCGTTGCTATCCACCGCTTTCTCGCAAACAAAACTGACAATTTTATTTCGATGGCGGCTCCTCGATTCATTCGTTACGGTGATGAACCACCACAACGATATATCCTCGAATCAAATTATATTCGTTCGAAGAAATCATTTCAACCAAAACGTTTCTTCTCTTCTTTGATTATCCTTCGCCCATCGATTGCACGTACATCACATGGAATATATGAAAATATCCACTTTACATTATTCGACGATCCAATTTCTAAGAGACGCCAAACGCGATTTCCGTGTTTGCTTCTTCTCGATCGATTCCAGCAAATGAGAACAACATTCAAAATACTCTTACGATCGAATAATTCGTCCTTTAACGTACATGAATACCCATAAATATGCAATTTCTGTCGAGTTTCGTAAATACCGGCACAACAAATTTACCACACGACACTCACTAGAAGACGTCACCGAGTTGACTGACTCCTGACGTTGTAGTACCTTCGCGCATCACTATCGCGCACCCTGGCTCAGGGACGACTCTTGTCATTTACCACCCAGCCATAATATGCAACATTTATCTTTCACCGTTTCTCGTCCTTTTTATACCTATCTTGCATGTATACACACTTACAAAACATGCACGCGTACGTCTATCTATGTATGTTTCAATTATATACGCATATATACACACACACACACACACACACACACACACACACACACACACACACACGTCTTTCTGTAATTTGTAGCTCTGTAAAATTATACTATTAATATCCTCAAATCCTTGCAAGATACACATACGTGAGTATAGAAAACATCGATAATTACCAATAATATGTAGTTTCTTGTCATTTTATAATTAGTTATTTGCCACACCATTAAAAAAAAATTGCATCTCGACAGAAATGATTCTTTTTGCACTTTGATTAATTCTGATGAAATTTACTTGTATTGCATATTCGTTAATCGATTTCTCGAGTGATTGATAGTTAAACATACTTCTGCTCGAAAATTACAGAAAATAATAATTATCCAAAAATTATAATTTTATTTCGATCTTACCCTTGTTTTCACAGTCCTGGTGTAACAGAGCCCCCCTCCCCTGCGACCAACATTCGGTCAGTCATCTCACTCCCTCACTCACTCACTCACTTTCTCACTCTCTCACTCTCTCACTCTCATTCTTTTCAACTATTTCTTTTTCCATGCATTATATTATTATCATTCTTCTACCATATATAATTTGTAGTTTTTCTTCAAACAGGACAAGATACGCGGAAAAGAATTAGACTGCAATCATAAAGAGTAAAACGAATAGCGTTAAAAAGAAATGTGTGTTCGAGATAAAGAAATAAACAAAATCAGATTCTTGTGATATCTATTTCTTTTTGATCTAGAACAATGTAAAATTACAACTGCATTATAAATATGCACATAATGGGTTATTGTTTATGCCCTTCTTCAATGCCTATAAATGTTGCGAATCTGAATCGATTCTTCTTACATCGATTTCACTTTGTTTTTAATTGACATACATGAAATCCGCTTATAACGATAATGTCACACTCGAACTTAACGATATCAAAAGAAATACGTGGAGGCGCCACATACTAGGTACTACAACTTTATCAAGCGACATCGAGCAAACACTGAAAATTGACGTCAGAACAGAACTGTATTTCTCGGTTCGGTAATCAACGAAATGTACGACTAGGTGGTATTTCCCGTAGAATATTACATGAGACGAAACTTTTTTGAAAATTTACAGGTAAGAGAATGCTGTTTCAACGTTTACTCGATTAATCTATCGTCGTTCCTGATTAACACACGTGTCTTTTATCATACTCGTATCTCTAGTGTTAAAAGTATCATTGAAAGCATGGTAATGCAGATTATGAAAGAAGGTTAATTGGAAAGACTTACCTCTGTACGAACAAATACTTCTAAACGTAACACACGTTCTTGGTAATAACAACTCTTTGAACTCGTTCAAGCTTCATTACGTTCATACCTTATGGTACTATATACCTGTTACGAAATTTTTAATTTCTTCTCCAATATCAATTTTTCATGGACTTATTCGTAAATTTTCGTACACGTATTTTACTTTATTTTTTACTATTTTTTTTTTCTTTCTTCCTTTTAGATTTAATGTTATTGATTACTGAGCAAAAACAAACATGTTCGCACCTTTGACAAAAAGAATCATATTGCAACAACTTTTTCATACACGTCGTTGTGGATCCACTTCCAGGTTAGTCTATTTATCAATTTACTAGCGTGCTATATATTGCGCGATCTAATCCTACATACCTTCTGTTACCGATTTACCACTTCGTAACTCATGCTTACATTAGCATGACAAACATTAACGCAAAATATATTATACAGATACACTAACAAAAATACACTAACGCATGGTTTGTTGTTTTTCAACTGTACAAATTAAACAAAATTGCCCATGCAACCATTTTCAGCACAGACTCGTGTGGTACATTCGACCTAGTTATCGTTGGGGGTGGCATTGTTGGATGTGCCACTGCACGAGAAATGTTAATAAGACATCCTACTTTAAAAATGGCGATCGTTGAGAAAGAAAACGCTCTGGCAAAGCATCAAACGCAACATAATAGCGGAGTAGTACATGCTGGCATTTATTACAAACCTGGCAGTATGAAAGTAAAGGGATAATAGATTGTATATATTTTTTTAAGAAGCTTACCCGTTTCAGGAAAAATATTCCTGTGTTTCGATATAATATGGCATTTCTAACAACATAATAGAATAACGCTTCATTATGAGATTTCTGATTCGACAGGAAATAATTGCAGGCAAAACTATGTGTGGAAGGTTTAAAGCTATCTTACGAATATTTCTGCAATCACGATATTCCTCACAACAAAGTTGGAAAACTCATAGTAGCACAAAATGCAGAACAAGTTAAGAGATTGGATGATTTATACGATCGAGGATTAAAAAACAATGTACCGGATCTGCAGTTAGTCGAGAAAGACTGTATATCAAAATACGAAGCTAAATGTCAAGTATTGAAGTTGTATCTTTATTTTTGGATTCTTAAAGAAACTAACAGGAAATATGAAAAAAGTATTGCGATTTTCAAAACTTATAATAATAGGAAATGCATGTATACTCTATAGGGAGAAAAAGCATTGTGGTCACCATGGACGGGTATAGTCAATTGGGCATTAGTTTGTAGACATTTTGCCCAAGAATTTCAGAAAATGGGAGGAAAAATATTCTTAAATTATGAAGTAATTGGTTTCTCAGAGATGACTGAATCTAAGGGAAAAGGAGAATTAGCTCCGATTTTGGTGCAATCGAAAGATAGAGTACGTTTACACATACTCTACAATTTTTGATTCGCAATACCTTTATCATGTATTTACATCGTAGTGTATACCCACGAAGAATGTGCTGACATGTGGTGGTTTACATTCGGACCGCTTGGCAGTAATGACAGGATGTGATCTTAGTCCACGAATCGTTCCATTTCGGGGCGAGTACTTATTACTGAGCGATAGCAAAAAGCATTTATGTACTACCAATATATATCCTGTCCCAGACCCAAGATTTCCATTTTTGGGCGTTCATTTTACACCCAGAATTAACGGCGACATATGGCTTGGCCCAAACGCAGTCCTAGCCTTTGCCAGAGAGGGTTATCGGTACACAAGTCTACAAATTTTTACTTACACGTAACATACAAAAATGTACCAATTAATTACTATATATCCTCAGATGGTTCGATATAAATGTGAAAGATTGCGTAGAAATGGCAAAATTTCCTGGACTATATAAACTCTGTTTCCGATATTTTATACCGGGATGCAAAGAAATCATTAAATCTATTTTCTATCCGCTTGCAGTGCGAGATTTGCAAAAATTTATTCCTGAGGTATCTTTCAAAGATATAAAAAGGTAAACGTATATGTATTTTTAATTAATTATATTCCATCGTATCGTCAATCGGTTATTCCTCCATACGCTTATATACATAATTATACAGGGGACCAGCAGGTGTCAGAGCACAGGCATTAGACAACAATGGTAATTTAGTAGACGACTTTGTTTTCGATGGAGGGAAAGGCAGTATCGGTAACAGAGTGCTTCATTGTCGCAACGCACCTTCGCCTGCTGCAACTAGTAGCATGGCAATCGCTAAATTCATTTCCAGTAAACTGGAAACTGATTTTAAGTTTTAACGATTCCTAATACTTTAATAGAAAAGAACTTAAATAACAAACGTACAAATTATATGACTCTTTGTAACAATATATACAGAATCTCTGTTTAATAGTAATTTTGTATTCATACTAATGTATATAATGTAATATGCAATAAAACATACTTTATACTTTCCTTTGCATAAAATTTTCTTATAAAGAATATTATCTAAAAATAATATTTAAACGATATATCTCGATATTGTTATAACGAGTTACATTAATTCACTTGTTCTCTGTTTCTTCCTTTCTATCCTTCCTCTTTCTTTTCCTCTTCCTCTTCTTCCGCCTCTTCTTCTTCTTTTCTTTCATTTTCTCTTTTTTTTTTCCTTTCTCGCCTTTCTATATTTCACCCCAATTAACATACACATCTTTTCTTTTATTCGAAGATCGTAATTCGTATTACAATCGTAAGAGTTTTCTGGCCAGAATAATTTCTACTTAATCAAACAGAATCCAAATAAAATTATAAAGCTTTATGCTTACGATGGTTGAATTTGAAAAGTGCAAAAATATTTCTCATACATACTTAAAAACGATAATGTTTGTACAAAATTACATCAAATTATTCTAAACCCCATTCCTGATACCATAAGACGCGAATTCGCAAAGTCCCAAGCAGCGGTTGAATGGAATCCCATATTTGAAAGAACAACACCATATTCGCTTAATGCAAACATAGAGTAAACTGCAATGAAACAATTGTATCTCATAAATGTTTCTTTGTACTTGTTTTGTTTGAAATCAATTAACTCACCTATAGGTTCACAATATTTGTTGTGCCTATAAAAAAAGTAACAGGCAAATATTATACACAGTAAATTCAATATCATGGTTCTTCGCTTCCACTTTAAGGAAGTAGCTTCGCAAGATTCCTTAGTAATATTACGACAATTTCTCATGATAAAATATGCAATCAACATATGAATAAAAGACGTTATTAAAAACGTTATGAAAGACAATTTGTGGAAGGCTGAAACAGAAATGTAAGTTATTTTATGTTTGAAACATATTAGCAAATTCAAATGCATACCATAATTTTCATCGGATGTCCAAAAACTTAACGTTACAAGAGATATGTTTTCAATCGCATATGTAATTGTAGCGACGTTACAAATATTTTGTGCCCATTTGTAGATATGCTCCTTATAATAGCGGCGATACATTATTAATACTAAAAATCGTATCAATGCTTGCGCAGCTACTGCAATTTTCCAAATATCTCTTTGTGGTCTATAATGTCCAATCGCAGCAGAGACAGATGGTAGAAAGTTGTAAACCTAGTACAAATAGTTACTATTACCTATATTCATGTGTATATACAGTAAAGTATTTTCTTTCATATTATATCATTGATTTTATATCGTCAGGAAAGTTATGTACCTTACAATGGGTAGAAGTAGAGTGCTCAAAATTGTATGCTATGGACCAAATGATACAAAATATAAATGCGAAAAAGGGCAAAGAAACGGTAAACCATGCTACTTTAGCGAAATTTAAGGTAAATCGCGCTTTCAACATGTCTTCTTCCACTAACGGAATATATTCTGATCCTACTCGAGACTTGTTCATCATGTTATATTCTAGATTATCATTTACGTCATCGTAAACGGCTCTGATACTCTTAATAGGCTAAAGTATAAAACATTCTATTGGTGAACGTAACAGGCGTTCCGCCCTTTTTCTGCATACGTTGCTTGTTGTTAAATACATAAAATTATATCGAACCGAAGAGTCATGATGAAGTTCCAAAAAGTGAAAATTTTGCACGCGAGGCCATTCGTATTCTTTCGGCACCCACATTTTCAGATAAAGATATAAAATAGACTATATCATCTTATAGCAAAGACAATTGATTGTACACGTCGTCTACACAATATTTTTCGACATACAACGGTATCACCACGTAGCATCCAAAACTAGAATAAACAAAACAAAGTTGCCGACGTTAACTTTTTTGACGTAAGATAGCGCTAGTTGGTCATTTACATCATCTAATGCCATCAGCTGTTTCATTTTTGTGTGTTGGTTCATTGTGCTGTTTTCGTGTAATCAAAGTGTTTTCATTTATGTTTATCTCTTGTTTACATCGGAAAATACATCTTAGTTTAATTATAGTGTCATACAAGTGGTAATAAGAACGAGATGTTGAAAAAGCATAGCGACGTAGAGATATTTTCGATAAATGTATTTAACCTTTTTAGGTTAGACTTCCAAGTACTTTGAAAGTAGATCTTGTACTTTCATAAAAATTTTGTACTTTATTGTCCATAATCAATGAAAAGGCATTAAGGATTCTCCTTCGAGTTATAAAACATGTGAGTATTATGGTGTGCACTTTCTGTAACAGGTACATGCTTTGTTTTATTAGCCAAAGACGAGGAAAAACAAATCGTTATCGAATAACGTACGAATTCACTTTCAATAAAGAAATATTAACTTCTCATTTATTAGGAAAGATATCAGTATTATTGTAGAAAATTATCCACTTTTCATTTAGGCGAATGTTTAAATAACAAATATTTCTAGCATATACATAATTCTTATATACATACATACTTTGTCATATTTTTTACTCTGCTTACTCCATTCGTACACTTATAGTTATACAGAAAATAGCGTAAACTGTATCCTATAGAGGGTATGTAGTAAACAAATTCATCGGGAGTTCGTATAATTTGTTTTGACTATCCTGTCGTTTCGGGCTATTCTTTTATTCGTTATTACATTACGCATATAGGACAGGTCATTTATAAGATTCGATAAAAGGAAGGAACAAGTGAGCGTAACGATATCTTAGCTCTAGTTTTGAGATTCGATTAAATTAGACGCAATGCGTCGAGACGGTTTGCCAGGAAGGTCGCAATATCATCCTACTATGCACTAAAAACCAAGCGCAATACCATTCCATCAAATATTCGCCGCAACAGCAATCTTTGCTGCGATTTAAATCAGATTGTATCATTCGCTATGAATCATTCTTTCAGCAGTATAACTCTTCCTATTTTACTGGCATCGAAGTCAAACAATATTATTGACATGTACGCAAGTCGCATCCATCTACGATTGTCCCTCTTTTTATCTCATACGAAACCATGATTCGAGTTCTGAAAATCAGTTGAGAAATGATACATTTTTACTTATCAACTATATATATGGACCGCTAAATGAATACCCGTTTAATTAAATTTAAAGTAAACGCAATACAAATTTACAAGCCTCTTATTTCAATCGTACACAACTTATCAGATGATTTACGTACATACATTTTTACGAGGGGGAAAGAAGAAATTAATATTCGTCCTATCAAGGCAGAGGCTATTAGATTTATGCTTGAACGAAAGGATACATATTGTCACTAACTTTTATTCATGTCAAACAGTTTAAAGTAGAACAC